CAGCTTCTTTGAAATTTTCGATGTAAACTGCGTAAGGGCCATCTAACCAGTCTTCTATATTCATAGTCATGAAGTATTCATTATTATCCTCTGAAAAATTTTCAAATGTTTCCCCAATATAAACGCCACTTTGATCAAACCCTGTATTAAAATGTTAGTCAGTAGTTTGATTAATATATTCAAATACATAAAACTGCTTGGTAAAAAGCAGATTGATAAAAAATTAAAATAAATAATTTTAGGATGAAAAATTTCAAGAAAATTTTTGCATAAAAAAAGTTTGATTTAAAAATTGCAAACCATTTTGATAAATTGTTGGATCATCAACATTCGGGTAGGCTGATGACGGAGTCGCTCCGAGTTGTTTAGGACGGCGTTGACTTTGATAGCGCCGAATCTTATTATGTCTTCTTGCAAAGTTTGCTTCTCTTTCTTGTGGCGCAATCCAGTCACTTTCTGCCACCGAAATGATTTCTGAGTTTGCATAGTCCGCATCTACATCTAGGTCGACATGAGAATCTATGTCACCCAAAAGAAGTTGTTGTTCTTCTAACTTTGCCAGCTTCTCTTTTCGCTTTTCGTCTCTTTTTCTTTTTCTTTCCTCTTTAGCTTTCTAAAAGTTATAAAAAAATATGCTATAAAACGATAATAAATTATAGCAAGAAATATAAGATATATAGGAATTTTAAATTATATATTATGTATCAGGAATGTATTGAAGCTATACAATTTTTTCTTCTTTCTTCTTTTCTTCTGCTGCAATTTCTGCTGCAGTGGCGACCGGTTCGATTGGAGGTGCATTACTGAATCTAGTCATGTCATTAATTTTTTTTCTTTCATCTTTAAAACAACAAAAAAAAAGTTCTTTAAACTTAAACCATATGATATGGTTCCAGGATAATTTTGCCCGCTCAGCTTTTTGTTTTGCAATTTTTGATTCGCGAGTGCCTATAAAAAATGTTTCATGTTAAAAACGATTTATATTTAAAAAATGTTTCATGTTAAAAACAATTTATATTAAAAAATATAGTAAGTAAATAAAATACAAATTTAATAATTAAAAAAAAAAGGTTTTGTTTTGGAAAAACGTTCCACCATTTTGGATTTCAAAAACATTAAAAATTTTAGGAAACAATTAAAAACTCTTCAATTCTTAAGTTTTCTCCGCATGTTTTTTTAGTTATAATATAGGTTTGCAGCAAAAAAAACAAACAAAAAAAAACAATCTGATCAAATTATAACTTTAATCTATAACTCAACTTTCTAAAACAGCGGAGGCAGAACAAGATAGTTCTAACCTCGCAAGATAGGTTTATGTTATTTGTGAATCTATGTTAACTATGTGAATCTATGTTATTAAATTAATTTTTAATTATTGAAAATTATTGAAATTTATTTTTATCAAATACGGTGGCAACTCCATGATTTAATTTTTAAGAAGCCCCTAAAATTGGTGTCAAACCTTTTACGGTAATCAATGGGTATATACTATTAAAACTGTTTTGGGGCCGGCACTCCTTTGTTTTTCACATTGAAGTGTCACTGTCTACTCTTAACTTTTTGTTTTATTTAGCAAAGAGTTTGATTGTAAAAAAAACTTACCCCATGACCTATCAGTTATATTAGCGAGTGAGTACACCATTAGAAATATGTATCCTGAAGGTAAACTTATTAAGTACCATAAACCATGTACAAGCTGCATTCCTTCCATTCCGTGTAAAATTGCAGTTAGAGTGAAAAGACCAATTAAAAAAAATAAAAATAATGTTGGTGGAGTTAATTGTAAAACAAATTTCGAAACTATTACTGAGTTTAACGGTAGTTTATTTGCCGGTATAAAATCAGGTCCAGAAATTGGAAAATCCCCAGTTGTATTCCGCAAAAACCATTCTAAACCATACTGTCTTTGTTTTGATATATCATCCGAAACCTTAAAAAAGCGTAAAACTTAAAAAACTTGACAAAATTTAAATCATTAAAAAATGAAATATATTAATATTGCACGTTATTACAATAACAATTGTAATAATATTTATTAAATTATTTATATTATTTATTATAACAGTTGTAATAATATATTAATAAACGCGTAATTTCGTGTTTAAGTAATATTTATAATATTCTATTAGCAATAGCTAAATTTTACTTTCAATTAGTAGCCTCCTTATCTGTAGTGGCCATCACGGCCTTGAGGAGGTGAATGACAAAACAAAACAAAACAAAAAAAAAAAAAAAACTTACTTAAATGCACTACTAGTGAATTTAAACAAATAGTATATACTTCCAAAAAGCAATGTAAAAAGAAAATAATTTGTAATTTAAAAAAAAACATTCAAAAAATTTAGTTATACCTGTATCATGAGCCCAACTACTGTAACACACATAATAATTGCATACAAAAATGTAAGTAGTTGCGCACTTTTAATCTGCAAGTCTTGCGAAAAGTATAAACAAATTATTATGTAACCAAAAAGAACAAACAAATTCGCGGTAAACATTGCTGACAATGTAACGTAATTAGGATAAGCAGCACTTAAACCAGAAGATACTAATAGCAATACAGTTCCAGGTCTGTCAAAGATGTAAAATCTTTTTTAATAAGAAACTTTTTAAAAATAACAAACAATTCTAATAAATAGATAGTATAAACAATAAACTAATAAACAAATTAACAAAAGGTTTAATAATAATAAAAAAATAATAAACCAATAAGTTTAATAAATAAAAGGTTTATAAGTGTTTAGTGTAAACTAATGTAAGTAAATACATAAAATATAATTTCAAATTTATAATTACTAATAATGATAAAAAATTCAATATTTTTAATAACTTTTTTTTCTCCATTAAAATAATATAAAGCTCTTACCCAATAACGGTCGAAATTAGCATGAGAACTTGGTATATAATAAATATTAAATTTATGTGATCATTTGATGCTCTAATAATTGACTGTCTTTGAACAAGCAGAGCCTGATTAGCAAGTGTCGAGGGGCCCCATCTTCGCCTTTGCTTGTAGAATTCGTCGAAATTTTCCGGACAATACGTGACATCACAAGATGAAGCACAATAATCAAGTCTCCAGCCTTTCTCTACCATAAGTGTGCAAAACCATCGGTCTTCGCCCATATCTTTAGTCAAAAAGTCTAATGCACAATCAACTGAGGTTGCATAAGTAGGTAAAATATCTTTTACTGCTGTGCATCGATAAACAGAAAAGCAACCCGGAGAGCAAAGAACAGATCCCATCACATGCTCAGCTACTTTTAGCAACCAATGACCAATAGCGTAGTCAAATATTTGATACCATACCATTGGGCCAGTTCCCATAGGATGAGTTCTAGCGCAAACTGCGCCAACTGATGGATCTCTACTCATAAAATCCATTAGTGCAGTTACATCTTCTGGTTGAAATTTAACATCAGCGTCAGTTGTGAGTATAAAACTGTGATCAAGATTATCTTTTTCTCTGTAATCGAGTACGTAAGACATGTACATAACTTGGCTCCAGCGTTTTTTATTCTTCACTTTGAAATTATCTTTCATATGTATATAAAATGGCATGCCACCAGGAAGAATCCATTTTAATTCCACGCCATATGGTGCATCTGTTTTTAAAACATTTGCTGGCACTGCTTGAACAGTGTGAGGAAGGAGGGAAATAAGTTGAATGGCAAAAGTTTTAAGTGTTTTATCTCTTACGCCATCATCAAACCAAATATGAGCTTCGAACTTCCTTCCTTCATTATGGCGAGCTCTATCGATTCCTTAAAAAGTAATTATTTAATCAATTGGTCAAGTGATTTATCTTCATAACTCAACTTATACAAAAATTTACTTATATAGCTTAGAACATATAACTTAAAACCAGGAGAAAAAATACCTGCAATTGAATAAAGAAGCTGCTCCATTTCATAATCAGCTTCATGATACATCGTTGTACAAATGTAGATTGTACTTTTTTTTACTAAACTCCGATAGTTTACAAAAAATTCATTGGTAGCTTCGTTTTTTCTGTTTAATAAAATATTTTGTTCCAGCAACGTCGCTAATTTGAAAAAAATAAGTTATTACAGAATTTGTACTCATTGTTTATATTTTTTTAGAAAATTAATAATAATAAAATCGTAGTTTTTTTACCGTCATAACAGGGAAGCCAAAACAAAGTGGCTTCATCCGCCATTATAAATTCTTGACTTCTCCATGCGTAATAGGTAGTTGCAAAAAATTGGCCAAGCCATAAAAGAACACTAAGAGCTGCTACCCATTGACCACTATTATTATCTGTCAAAGTGGTACATGGCCCTATGCTAAAAAAGTCACATTTTTTTAAAAGAATTATTCCTATGCATAATGGAGTACAAAGGGTTAGTGGAATTGCAAAACACATTCTTTGTAAAGTTATCATGCATCCAATCCAAGCAGAGTGATAGCCTATAAATGCTGAAACAATCTGCAAGACAAACATCGATCCCAATTGTGAGTTAAGTTTAATACTTAAAAAACCTTCATAGCTTTTTGTGACATCGGCAACTTCAAACAAGTAGGAAAAAAAAAAGATGAAAAATGGTATAGTAACTAATTTTATAAGAGAGTTTATAAGCGTTGCTTTTCCACGAGAAGTGTTAGTTTGAACAATAATTTTTTTAGCCTCATTTTTAAATGACTTTTGACATTTTTCTTTTAAATTGAAATTTTGAAATCCGTCATTGGTATCACCATTAATTGAATCTTCTCGAAAATGTCGCGCAAGATGATTTTTTGGCGTTTTTCCATTACGATCGAAAGTTTCCTGCGAGGAGTCTCCCCAAACATACGCAAGATCATGGTCAATTTGGAGTTTTCGAATTTTCGGACTCCATGCAATACTCAATAAACCAATAGAGATTGGTACAATAACTATTGTTTCGATGCTTTGTGTTTTCAACCAGATCTAAAAATTTAATAAAACCGCCTTTTATAAACTCAAATACATTTTTATAAATACATAAATAAATACATTTTTAATCAAGTTTAATAAATAACAATTTAACAAGAATGTTTATTTTTGAAACAAAAAATTTTATACCAAATATATAATGCCAGATAATCCTCCAATTTGTAAAAGAAACGCAATAACAGCTAAAACAATATTTTGAAGATGTTGATGTTTACGTTTGTTATAAAGAGAAATAGAAATTTCCATTTTTTTTTCTGTCTTTAAAGAGTCTATTTCTTCCCAAAACTGAGAAAATACTGGAAAAATAAATATCGCGTTCATGAGAATTACATTCAAATCTGTACTCTTCACATTGTGAACAACTCCAACAAAAAACAAGGACAGTCCAGCAACTTCGAGAAGTGTTCCGACGCCACCCTAAGCAGATAACATTTTATGTTAAAAATGTTAATGTAAATGTTAAAGAAAAAATTTTTAACATAATTTAAAGTAGTATTCACTTCAACAGAATAATTTGTAATTAAGTTGTGTTTACTTCCACAGTATCATTTTTAAAACAAAAAAATTTCTTAAAACACAGTAAAACAAAATAATTGAAAAAAAATTGTTTTAAGAATTATTAGTTATAGTTTTTAAAATGTAACTCATAAAACTTTATATGAATTACATTTTTGTTTTATTCTCCTTATTACTTTTCAAAAAATGGGTTTAAATTGGACCGGGCTTTGATACCTTTTAAAAAGTAGGTTTAAGTTTAACAAGCCTATATTACCTTAAAAATGAGTTTAAGTTTAATCAGGCATTATTACCTTTCAAAAAATAGGTTTAAACTTGACCTGGCTTAAATATCTTTCAAAAAACGGGTTAAAGTTTGACCGGCTTTATCTTAAAAATGGATTTAAGGCTATTATCTTAAAAACGGATTTAAGTTTGACTGGGTTTTATTATCTTTTAACATCTGTACAAATGTTTAAAAAAAATCAAACATATTTAAATATAAAACAATAAAAAATAAAAAAATACCCATAATATAGCAAGTTTTGTTGGCCATGGATGAGTTATTTTTCTGCACGTAAAAATGAACATCTTCACCAAACTATACCCTGGTGGAACCATCATTACAATGCATAGTATAACCATAGCAGCTTCGCGTTCGCAGTTTGATGCACCGTTTGTTAAACCACAGGAAAACTTATTTGTCGAATTATAATTATCTTTATTTAAACGTGTGGCGATTGAAAGCACAGAAAATTTGCTAATAAGTACACTAGCCAGAGTGGCAGCTGCTAAAAGCAGTGCTACTATTAACTTAAGTGCAGAAAGAATCTTTGGCGTTTTTTTAAACCATTTGTGTTCTTGATTACTTTCATCGGTACATTCAACTGTAAAAGGTCTATCAACTCCAGTATATGACATTGCAACGGAAGGTGTAGCGCCATTGAAAGATTTTTCTGAACCTACAAAGTTATATCCGTCCAAATAAGACTGACTTTGTCTTTCCATTTCCAACATTTCACTCATAGTTTAAAACTAATTAAATATATGACTGTTAACTTTGATGCTCATGAATGCGTAAACATGCACAAATAGTAACAAAGCATACGCAAACAAAGCTGCTGATAGTGTTTCAGTGAGGAATATCAATTGTTACTGATAACGGACACCAAATCGTTTGTTGTGTTGAAGATAAAATAAGAAAACCTATCAAAAAAACAAATGTCTGGTAAATATTTAGCTTCAAAGTTACCACAACTGTCAATTATATAAAAATAATGGCACAAGTAGTAATTATAATGTAAGTAAAATTACCACATTATATACTCATGTATACTTATTACACCACAAGTACAATACTTGTAATTACGTGTAATAATAAATACTATTTTAATGGTAAATGGAATAAATTTAATATATAACCAATTAACAAAAACTTTGAAAATTAGCTATCGGTTAAAAACATGTTTGTATATGAAATTTGAGTAAAGTGGACTACAAACAAACTGGCAAAAAGAAAAAAAAAGCCTATTCAGACTTTGTCTTTTATTTGAATTTTTGGAGTTGGTTTTACAATAAATTGTTGAATTAATTATTATTAAATTAATGGGAAACCATATGAAAATATTTTTAGAAAAAAAGCCCTCTTACATAAATATGTCAACTATGATTTTATCTTGACTGTTAAAATATTCTTTTAATTTGTTTTTCGTTATTACTCCAATTATCATCAATTCTTTTTGTTTGTTTATTTTTATTATTATTATTATTATTATTATTATTATTACTATTATTATTGTTATTATTGTTATTATTATTATTATTATCATTAATATTATTATTATAACCTGAAAAATTATGATTTCTATATGTTTTTTTTAAAATGTATTTTCAATAAGAGAGTTAATTACTTTTTGTTTATATAAAGAATTGGGTAATCAGCAAATTTTCTTGTAGTTCCCTATTTAAACTATAACTTTATAAAAGGTAACAAAAACGTTTTGCAATGTTGCGGAGTATATTTTTTAATCTTTTTTTTATTAACTAAGATAATAAAAAATTAGGCACAGACTGAATATGATATTTCACTTTATGTACTTTTGACAACGTTTTGTAACACGTGGGATGTTATGTCTTGCTAAAAACTAAAAACCTAGTTGGCGGAATATAAAGTAAGTTTTACAGTAAAATGTAGAATGATAATAATAATAATGATAATAAAAAAAAAGAAAATGGTGTTCAATCATTAGAGTTGCCAGATGTCCTGGTTTTACGAAGCAGATCGCTGTATTTTCCTTCATAAAATGGACGTTTGACAACCCTATCTATCATAGAACCGTAAAAAGACTAATTTACATAGTTAAGTATAAAATATTTATAAACAAGAAAAATCAATTTTAGTACCTTCTTTTACAATTCGTTAAAACAGTAAAAATTAATTATCGCTAAATTGTCAAACTCAAAAATAATAAATATTTTTAAATAAAATGTTTTTAGAAACAGTTTGTGTAATATTTACAATTAAAATTTTTAGTTAAACTTTATAAATAAATTGTAATATTTAATATAATATTTATAACAACCACGTAAATTTTAGATATATATCGTACTCTAAATTGCAAAAATAAAATTGATTAATTAATAATATAAAAACTTACGTAAAAATTTTATTTTTCAAGATTGATGTTCCATCGAATATTTTCGTTTTCTTGGTATGAAATAAAACGTTCTTACTTATTACTAAAACAACGGATATTCGTCATTTGAGACAAAGTAATTTAAAATAAATTTAAAGTAATTTATTAGTTATTTAAATACAATAAAAATTAAATTACTTAGCAATTATGTAACAAAAAAAAATGGAGTATATATCGCAACTGATTTATTATTATCTTCAAATTTGTTATTGCATAATTTAAATGCATATAAAATAAGTTAATGTATCCTGTTAAGAAAGATATGAATGTCTGATAGACCATGCGTTGTTTTTTTTTCTAATGTTACGTTTTAATATACGACAATAATATTTTACAAAGAAATTTTATCATAAATTTTATATTTTAATATTATAAAGAAAAAGTTAAGGATCAATGTTATTAAAATACATATGTCCTTCATAGCCATTTTTTACCAAATAATCGTTCAAAATGTGACAGTAAAAAGTACCTAAAAATATGTGCAATCGCAATTATATGTCAAAAACATGATGAAAACAGCTAGTATGAATTATATGTCAAAAACATGATGAAAACAGCTAGTATGAATTAGCTAGTATAAATTATATGTCAAAAACATGATGAAAACAGTATGAATTAAATGGTTCAGTGATTATACATTTTTTATTGTATTATGGCAGAAAAGTAAAGCCCTTGCTTTTTCTAAATAAACTTAATCCGTTTTTGTATATACAAAACTGGTTATTTTTTCATCATTTTTTCTTTTTTTTTTATTTATTTTATTTTTGTCTATTTTTACAGATGGCGAAAGTTAATAAAGACCGGTCAAACGTAAACCCATCTGTTGAAAACCCATCTGTTGAAAACCAATCTGTTGAAAACCCATCTGTCGAAAACCCATCTCTTGAAAACCCATCTCTTGAAATCCCATCTCTTGAAAACTCATTTGTTGAAAACCCATCTCTTGAAAACCTCTCTTGAAAAGGTAATAATTCACATATTAAAAAAGTTTTAGTTCACTTCTTGAAATAGAAAGCCCAGCTGACAATAAAGCCTTTTTTCTTCATTATTAACATATACCATTGTCTTTTTTAATATTTTTTAAGTATTTTGTTTTTATCATAATTGTTATTATTTTTTCAAATCTTTTGAGTAACAATTGTTTTGAGTTTTAAGGCATTTGATTTTTAAGTTTTGGCATTTTGATTTTTAAAGCATATATATATAAATTTTTAAAAGTTTTTTGATTAATAGAAGGTAAAATAGAGTATATGTATGTATATATATATATATATATATATATATATATATATATATATATATATATATATATATATATATATATATATATATATATATATATATATATATATATATATATATATATATATATATATATGTATATACATATATCATAAATTTCATAATAAATCATAAATTTAATACTCTACATACTTTAGAAGTGAAACTCAAAATAAAACATAACAAATCAATATGCAGTATAGCAATTGAAAATATTAAAAAAAAAAATTAGGCCGTACTATTTCATTCCAGAGAAAAGGTCCACGATAAGATATGCAAAATTGAGCTTGTTTATTATTGCAAAAAAAGTTTTCTAGAATTTTAAACAAATATAACCTACGCAGTGGCGTCACTGAGGTTGGTATCACCCAGTGCGGTAAACTCAGGGTGTCTAGATTCCGATAATCGCTTAAAGGCACCATATGCCTTCTCGTGTATATAAAAGAGAACGGTTATAAAAGCCGACCGTTCCAACTAGACCGGGATGAGCTAGGTGAACTCTACTGTCTGAGACAGAGCTAGGGGTGACACCAAAATGAAAAATATTCAATTGTGACTACTGACTAGCAACAACTTGTTTCCTCTCACAAAAATTGATTTTTTTTTTTTTTCATTTTGGTGTCACCCCTCTGTATTTGCACCCCCCGAACCCCCTAGCGACGCAACTAAATCTACGTAATATTGTATGTTATATTTGAATCGGCTCTTGCTAAAAGGGGATTAGTCAACAACACATAGTTTTGAGAAAAATAAATAAAACTTTGCATTATCTTCATTTTTGACCAAAAAGATGCAATTTTTTGTATATGAACTCTTTATCACCCCAGTTATTATGGGACATACTTGAATAATGACATTTACAATGCTTTCATATGAAAAAAAATCATTAAAGCTGTTTGACATATCCCCTTTTAGCATAATTTGAATAAAAAGACATATAAATGTGTTTAAAAACAATGTTATTTACTAAAAACACTAAGAAATCAATATTTGCATATACTCTAATTTATAAGAAACTCATTTTATAAATATATACTATATTCAAATAAATCTAATTAGTCTGAGATAAGCAATATAAGCAATGACAACTTAGTCATCGTTTTCAACTTCAACTTTTTTGGTTGTAGACCACATATAAATTTCAGCATAAAAGTCTTCAAACTCCACTGGAATATAGGGTTGTAATTTTTTTATGTCTGTCATTTTTTCAATCTTTATTGATACTTTTCCTGTAGGGTAAGCTTCTTTACTTGGAAAACATAAGTTTGGGCAACCTGTTGCTCTAAAAGCTGTGATTTATTATAGAATCGATAAAAGATCGTCTAATAACCTTAGAAGGAAATTTTATATCATATATGCAGTGCATGAACTTGCTTATTGAAAAGTACTGCTTTTCGTTCTTTTTAACTTGCTTACCTTTAGTTTCATCGGAAACACAACTTTTTTTATAAAACTGCGGCCACCACGTCTTGTAGTCTAAAATTTCTGAAGATTGAACTTTGGTCTACTGTGTACAGTCTATCATGTCAATTTAGTTCTCCCTTTATTATTCTAAAATCTCTATCACATGGTAGGAAGGAGTGCCCTCTTATTGGGTAGAATTGCTCAACCTTTTTAAATTTCTTTAAATCAGTCGTGGCTAAGAATAGCCTAAATAATAAATGGTTTTTATTTTGGCCCCAACAATTATCTGAGAATAAGTGGAGTTCAGTAAACTGCTGCTCTACTTTCATTAAGTAGTTAAATAGAAGGGAACACACTACATCTGGACCCTTGTCTGCTGTGCCTTGGTGGTAAACAAAAATCTGTGCTTTGTTGCTTTTATTGTTATGAATACAAAAAACATTAACTGAAAGTTGTCTCAGATAGAAGGTTTCTTGTACTGGTATTTTTGGGATCTGTATGTTCTGCATAAAGTCAAAACACAATGATAAAATTTGTCTATTGTCCTTGTCATTGACGTCTTTTCCAATTTGATCATAAAACTTTTTTTATTTGCATTTATGAACATCAAGTTCAGATTGAGCACACCTTTTTGCTGCCTCGTTGAGACGAGGACTCCTTAATTTCATGTTGAGTTTCTCGCAAGTGCAGCATATGTCAACTTGTGGCCTTCCAAAGGAAAGATTATAGTTTTCTTTAAAGTAGTTGAAATACTTTGTTCCTCCAACTTTTATTGAAAAGTATTTTTCTTTAAACAGCCTATACATAGTTTTAACATTTAATGTGGCATCTAGATAGCATATAGGCTTTCCAAGTTAGTGGCTTTCTTTAGTTGGAAAGCTTTTAATATGCTGTCTGATAAAAAGTTTGATTTCTTCAGACAATACTTGTTTTATATAACGTCCTCTATTATCAACTGGGCTTTTCGCAAACATTTTCAAAGCTTGCAATCTTTCAACTTGTTTTTTAGTAACTGCATGTAAACTTAAAAAAGCTTTAAAACAAACCGGCATTTGATCAGAACCCACCATAACATGATACTTAAAGGTAGCACTTTTTTTTTTAGAACTGTCTTCCTTTCTGGGTCGTCTCTGCTTTACTTCTTGGGAATCAATCAAGGATTGTAGGAACAAATCTTGATCATCTTTAGTGTTGAAGGCATGGAAATGGTTTAATATATCCATTTGATCCTCTTCATTAATAGTCTCAAGACAGTTGTTTCTCTTGCAGCTGAAAAAACAAAAGATTATTTTATACTGTGTAAAATTTTTTACCTACAAATAAAATTGTAAAACTGTAAAACTACTCACTAATATTGAATACAAAATAACGTACCTGCAGGGGAAGCCAGTACACTTTTGAGGTACAGTATTTCCTTGGTAGTTAACATATTCTTCACCTTTTATTCTGGCAACCTTTACAATGTTTCTCTTTCAAAGACTTTGATCTGGTTTCCTTTTCTTTGCTGAATTTTTCTCAAAAACCCCATCACTTTCATCTGAATTTATTTCCATATTTCAAACTTATTTATGATATAACATAAGACTAAGAAAACAAAATATAAAGTTAATTCCTATTTAGGGTAAGCTATATATAGTACAATAAACACAAGACTGAGAACACAAGAAAGTTAAACATAAACTTAATTCCAATTTAGGTTAATTTAGTTTTTTAGGTACTGTATAGCAGTACAACTACATAAGACTAAAAACAAAAGATATAAAGTTAAATATAAAGTTAATTCCCATTTAGGTTAAGCTATACAGTTCAGTAAAATAAATAAAAACAACAACAGTTATCTGTTGCAGTCAATTGCGTAGTTACGTCTATAGACGGCATAAGATGATTTTTTATGCTAAAAGGGGGAAAGTCAGTGACTTAACTCCTTCTAGCATGAACAAGTCTACAACTGATTTCAGTTACAAGGGTAACCAAGCGTCTGTCATGTCTGATTTTATCATAAACAGTTAAAACCTACAATTGAAACATGAAAACCATTATTAACTCAATTTTCAATTTTTGTTACTTATCTTCTTTTAGCATGACCCGATTCATTTGTTTTTGGGGTTTAATTTTGTAAAGGTTTACAAAAACATTGGGGGACATAAGGTCTTTACATTCGAACATAAAACACAAAACATTAAACACATTTAGTTGATAAACATTTAAGGCGTCCATTTCTTTAAAAAGCGGTTCAGAATTCGAAAAATGATTTTTAAAATTTATTATGCGAGCTGCGTGTTTCTGATGCCGATAAGTTTAGTTTTATGTGTACTTCCCTATATAATATTTGCATAATTGATATGACAGTGAATAAAAGAGTAATATAATTATGTTAATTGCTTTTTGTTTAAAATACCTCTAGATTTGTTTAGAATTCCGTTGTTTTTTGCAACTTTATTAGAAATATTATTGGTGTGTGATTTCGTAGACAGATAATCTTGAATAAAAACTCCTAAAAATTTTGTCACTTTTTCTCTTTTTAGGATTTTTTTTAATTTATTTTCTTCTCCAGATGAAAATATAAAATAAAACATTTATTTTCGTGATAAAAAGAAAATATATATACAAAATTATTATCAGATTGATTAAAATACATTAATATAATATTAATACATTAATATATATATTTTTTTTACATTTTAATTTTACATTTGTCGTAATACAATACTTTAACAAATACAAACAAGGTTTCTGAAAGAAGATTGTACTGATCTTATCATCAGAAATTTTTACAAGCATTTAGCATAATTATTTACAATGTATATAATCTATATATAAAATAAACAAAAAAGTAAAACAAAAAGAGTCGTTACATAAAACGTATTTTACAATTAAAAAAGTTCTAAATAAAGGTACATAATTACAATTAGAAGAACCTTATTATGTCATCGGAAAATAAAATTAAATTTTTGAGTTTAAATGTTTGAAAATTGGAAAAGTGTAAAATATATCAAAATTTGGCAAAACAATTTTATTCCAAAGATATGGCGCACGATAAGCAATACCATACTGGTTAAACTTTGTTTGACAAAAAGGTTTATGCAAAAATTTATTATTTCTAAGAGTGTATTTATTTATTGGTTTTTCACAAAAGAGAACTTTAAGGATAGGTAGGGATAAGTCATTTTCCCACAAATACATAAAGCATAAAACATTAAACACATTAAGCTCGTACGAGCCTAATGTGTTTAATGTTTTAATAAATAAATACACTCTTAGAAATAATAAATATAAATATAAATGTATAAACCTTTTTGTCGAACAAAGTTTAACCAGTATGGTATTGCTTATCGTGTGGCATATCTTTGGAATAAAGTTGTTTTGCCAAATTTTGATATATTTTACACTTTTCCAATTTTAATATTTACGCGTAAATATTAAGAATTTTCATTTCACTAAAAAAAGGTTTGGAATGAGTGTGTCGATCCGCAAAATTAATTAAACGGATCGCATGCTTCTGACGGCGGTAAAGACATTGTAACTTGCTTTTTTCTGTGCTTCCCCAAGCAATATTTGTATAATTTTAATAGGTATGAATAAATGAGTAGTATAGTTGGGTTAAATCTTTTTCACATAGATATGTTCTGGATTTATATAAAATTTCAATGCTTTTAGAAACTTTTGTGCTAATATAGTCAATATGCGCTTTCTATGTGATATTTCATCAAGAAAAACACCCAAAAACTTTGTGACATAGTGTCTTTTTATCACAGTATTATCAATAAAGATTTCTGGTAAATTTTGGGGTAAATAAGGTTTTTTTGAGATTGGATGGAAAAGAACCCATTTTGTTTTTTTACTGTTAAGAGTTAGGTTATTGCATTTAAACCATTTTGATATGTTTTTAAGTTCATCGTTCATACTAGAAAAGAGTTTGTAAATATCATTATTGTAAAGAAATAAGTTGGTGTCATCAGCAAACATTATACTCATTAAATTTGAGGCTTTATTTAGGTCGTTTATATAAATCAAGAACAACAGTGGTCCCGAAATGGAACCTTGGGGAACGCCACATGAAACATTTAGGAACTCATTTGGATAACAACTATTACTAAAAACAAATTGTTTACGGTTAGATAAATAACTTCGGAACCATTTTATAACTTTGTAATTTATTCCATAGTATTTCAGTTTTTGTATCAAGATTTCATGATCTACAGTATCGAACGCCTTCGATAGGTCGATAAAAACACCTAATGTAAATTTAGATTTTTCAAAAGAATTTGAAATTTCACGAAAAAGTTGGATAATTGTATGTTCCGTCGAATTAATTTTTTAAAACCAAACTGGTTGGCGTATAACAAATTATTAGAAAGGAGATAATTGTATAATCTATTATAAAGAAAATAATGCGTTATAGTATTTTTGAGAATGTGCAGAGGACGGAGATAGGACGATAATTACTGATATTATTTGATCTCCCTCTTTTAAAATTGGGGTAATTTTAGCAATTTTTAATTGATCCGGTAAAACTCCTTGGTGGATAGATGCTCCATAAACCTTAAAAAGTATATCTTTTAATTGTTCAAAACATTCTATAACTATATTACCGCTAATGTCATTTGCTCCGCTTGCTTTGTTTTTTTTAAGGGATTTGAATGCTTTTTCGAATTCATGAAAAGTTAGCTCAGAATATAATTTGTTGGAACTAATTTAATTATCCATCTGTACTAGAAAATCGTTAAATGTTGCTTTGGTATAAGGAATTTTATTTGCTAGTTTAGGACCGATGTCAGTAAAGAATTTATTGTCCGATGTCAGTAAAGAATTTATTGTCCGATGTCAGTAAAGAATTTATTGTCCGATGTCAGTAAAGAATTTATTGTCCGATGTCAGTAAAGAATTTATTGTCCGATGTCAGTAAAGAATTTATTGTCCGATGTCAGTAAAGAATTTATTGTCCGATGTCAGTAAAGAATTTATTGTCCGATGTCAGTAAAGAATTAAACTCATGAGCTATAATAGCTCATGAGTTTTTATTTTGTTCGCGTTTGTTATCCACAATAACCATCTGCGTTTGTTATCCACAATAACCATCTGCGTTTGTTATCCACAATAACCATCTGCGTTTGTTATCCACAATAACCATCTGCGTTTGTTATCCACAATAACCATCTGCGTTTGTTATCCACAATAACCATCTGGGGAAGAGAACCTGGGCATTTTTTTTTGTCTGCCAGTAATTTCGTTCATTATTTGCCAATTGCGTTTTGTCTTATTTTTGAATTTATCTAGGAGTCTTGTGTAATAATTTTTTTTCAAGTTTTTACGAACTTTTTCAAAGAGATATTTGTAATTTTTATATATTTTCTCATTATCTGATGATTTTGTTTTAAGATATTTTATATAGAGCTTCTGTTTAATCTTGGATGATTTTTCAAATCCTTTTGTTATCCAAGGGTTATTTTTATTTTTTGGAGTTATTGTCTTTTCAATAATAGGAAAGTTTGCGTCATAAACGGAGTAAAAGGTTTCAAAGTTATCATAAATTTTGTCTGCATTGTCATTGAAGTAAGTATGCTTCCAGTGCAGTAACGATAGTTGGTTTTTAAACAACTTTATATTTGTATGGTTAAAAATGCGGATTTTAATTTTGTTTATTTTATTTTTAATTTCAGAATTAATTGTCAAAAATATTGGAAAATGGTCAGTTATATCAGATTTTAGGATACCTGTTTGAATATCATTGTTGAATATATCTGTTGTTATAATATTATCAATCGCCGAGTTTTTGTTACTCTAGTTGGCCTGTTTATTAAAGGTATTGCTCCTGCCTCAAAAAAGGAGCCGTAAAAGATTTTAATTTTGTTATCTTCATTATAAAGAAAACAATTTATATTTAGGTCTCCGATAATGAAGTTCTTTTTGTTTTCTTAAATACCTTTTTTGAAAATTCTCGCTCACGCCGTCAGGTGGGCGATAACAACAGCTTAATAATATGTTTTTTATATGTATATATATTTGTTGACTATATATATAAGAGTTAAAAGTAGGTTTTCCTATTGCTATCCAAAACAGTTAAAAAACAGGTAGTTAAATAATTAATATAAATTAATAGTTAAAAAATCAACTAGTAAAAATGTTTTGGTTAAAGTTCCAATGAACAGAAAAAACTTTTGTTAAGATTTTTTTTACAATTTCATATTTTAACTACACTTTTATAATTATATATTTACAATTTTTATATTAACTACTTAACAAATTTTAATTTTATATTTATGTATACAAGACTACGATTCATAAACAATTTATAAATTAGAATGAGTATAATTATAATTCTTTCACTAAATTATTTTCACAATTTATTACCCGATATTCGAATAAACGAAAAGATTTTAACAACTTTGCAAATGGTTTTATCATGTCTAATAATAAATTGCTAAAAGGTAAAGTGGCTTGCCTCAGTTCTGAAGTTAAATTCCAAACAAGGACAAATATTGGCTGTATTAATGCATTGAATGAAGCTGAAAACACAGGCTTAATCAACCAATCTCCAATGATATAAATTATTCCTACAATGACCCTCTGGATTATAGAACGGAATAAGAATGCTGTTAGCTCAAGAACAAATAGTAATATAAAGTCAATAAGAATTCGCACAAAACCAAAAAACTCCTGCCAAATACGCCTACTGTGTAGTTCCATTCTAAAATAAGAATTAAACATTCAGACAATAAAACGCTTTTTTTTTTTATTTCGATGATTGAATTGAACTTTTATAATTTATTAATTATCAAATTATATAATTATCAAAATTATCAAAGAATTTATTAATTTATTCTTACTCTACACTCACTAGAGTGTAGAGTAAGAATAAATTAATAAATTCTTTGATAATTTTGAAAGTTGATATTCTGGAAAAAAAAATTTCAAAAATTGATTTTATTTTCAACCATTTACTTTGAATATGTAAACTCTTCAAGTTGCAACATTCAATTATTCTATTCAATATAAAAAGAGACCTTGACTGTTGTATATCCTACTTCATATTAATATGTACATATTGAAATATTTATATATACTTTATATTTATATATACATATTAAAATATTTATATATACATATTGAAATTGTAATAAAATGTGGATTAAATATAAAACATCTAAAGGGCATGAAGCCTAATATTAAAAAAAAATTGATAATGCCAGAGAGTTCTAATGATATCAGATGATATCAAAGAGTTGAAATAATATAAGATGATATCACAGAGTTGAAATGATACTATCTTATATTATTTCAACACATTATTATACAACAAAATATTATCAATTGTTTAAAAATTTTCACTCATAAATTTTTCAACTTTTGTCTCTACCTAATTATCATCACTATCAATTTTCACTATTGGATCACTACGACTTACTTCTTATTGCATCACTATCTTAATATCTTTTTTAACACATTTTATTATTGGATTTACGTAATGCAATTAGGGTTCGCAATCCCGGATCCCGAAATCCCGGGATCCCGCCTAATTTTTTAACCCCGAATTTTCGGGATTATTTAAAAAATATCCCGGGATTTGGAATTTATAAAACTACGAATAATACCTGCATTTAAATTGCGTCAAATAAAACAAAAGTAACAACAAAGCTTTAATATTTAGCACCAATGCAATGCAAAGTTTTCATTATTGATTTATAAGTTTAAAGTAAGTTTGATCTATCTTATATATTGTTATCACTACTGGCGCGTTTATAAGGAAATAGTAAGTAACTGATTTTAATTAGTATTTTAATTATAATAATAATATAAATAATTAAAATAATAATAACAATATTAAGAAAAAAAAAAAAAAAATTATTTGTATTGATTTATATTGTGTTTTTGTAATAATAGAGTGTATATAAACTTATTGAACTTTTTTAAATTCACCTTGATAAGAAAGTTAAAACTGTTTATAAATTATTATCTTTTCTTTGATTGGTCAAATTAGGAAACTATGTCAAACTTCATAGAGTTCAACAACAAAACCCCTATATAGAAACATTTTCTTCGAAACAAAGAAAGTGAAACATCAAAAAAGTATTGAAAATTACGGGGGGATCAACAAAAGCTCTCCATGGGGTTATCCATTAATTACGTCAACAAAATAGGGGGGATGAGGGGGGATCTGAACATTTTTGACAATTGTTGATAAGGGGGAGGGAAGGTCAATTAAAGTTGATATCAACAATTTTTTTTTTGAGTTTCATTGCTTAAATAAGGGAAATTTTGGCTGAGTTTGTAGCATAACTTCTTTGTATAGGTAGGGGGGATGGGGGAAATCAAAAATTGACGTAATTTTATAGGGAAGGGGGGGCGGATGTCTCTGGAAATTTGACAAATTGTTGACGCAATTAATGGACAGCCCCCATTCTCATCTTCTCCAGTTACATAAAATAAATTCAAAAGCAGAACTGGCACGTTTTCCAACATCAGAAAAAGAACCATTGAGTAAAAAAAGTAAAATTAGTTCATACTTTTCATCGACTATGAATAAAGAAGAAAGCTTGTCTGAGGTGTTTGCAAGATTAACAGCTAAAGATGGGATTTCTTTTAACTTAATATGCACCTCTACTAATATACGTGCTGGACTGGCTATGAGTAGTGTTCGGCACAAATTCAAATAGTTTGATCAAATATGCGTCAAATGTTTGAAATGGCCAAATTCAAATCTTCCTATTTTGAATTTAGATCAAATTCAAATCTTTCCAAGATTTGATGTATATTTGAACGTTATTTAACTTATTTCATTTATTAATTTTAGTTATCTGAATCTATAAATTTTATTCATATTGCAGCATTTGTTACTATTTCTTACACATTACAGCTTCTTTTATTCTTTTTAATCCAACTAAGACTTCAAGCACTGGCAAGCTTGAATGGTATCTGCAGAGAGAAGATTTCTTTTGTCAGTAATAAGATTTTTTCCTAATGAGAAGAGCCTTTCTGATGATACAGATGTAGCAGGAATGGCCAGGTAATCTCTGGCCATTCTGGATAGGTTTGGATATTTGTCAGATCGAGATTTCCACCAAAGTAATATGTTGCTATTATTGCCGCCATCTAGCTTACTTGTATCATTACAATAGTTTTCAAACTCATTACATGGGTTTGATGAAACACGCGATTTGAACGGGGTATATTTTGAAACGTTTTGAATGCTTGTAGCAGTTGTAATATTGCTTGGGGCATAATTGATTTGATATTCACAATTGACTGTGTCCATAATCTTTGTATACGACTCGCTGTTTGCGCCCTTATCATTTTATATATTTTTATATATTATCATTTTATATATTATCTTATATATTTTTTTCTACGTTTTTTCTTTTAATCTTGTACTTTGTTTACATTTCTTTTCTTTTTTTCTTTCTCTATGCTCTTTACTTTCTCTTTAATATTAACAAACTTTAATTAAAAACTCTTTTTTTTTTTTTTTTTTCCGTTATTGAAAGGCGACCGCCATTCCGGAAACCACTGCAAAGACCCCGGAATAAAGTGATATATATGTTTGCGGGCCTGTAAAATTTGGCGTTTTTTTTTCAAACGCAAAAATTGAGAACAAAGTGAATATTTGAAAATCAAATCTAAATCCTCCAGATATTTGTCAAATCAAATTCAAATCTATCCCCTCAAAGAACAGTTCAAATTCAAATCTTTAAAGGTTTGACGTATATTTGATTTTGCCGAACACTAGCTATGAGGCGATTTGTCAACATACTTAAAGGCCGTTTTCCACAAGACGAAATATTCGCGCGAAGCGAATTTTTTCGTCGATAAGCATGCGCAGATTAAACATTTTTGGTAATTATTCTGATTTTTTTTCGCTACAGCGTTTCGCTGCAGCGAAAAAAAAAGTCGGATTCATTTCGACTTTTTGCGAAACTTTATGCGAAAACCAATCAAGTTTTGAATATTATATCACGTGATGTCAACAGTAAAAAAAAAGCGAAATCATGTTGTTTTTAAAGTAACAAAAACAAAATTCTTAACTTGGCGTTATTATTAATTTTATATTATAACTTACTCTGAAAATTGGCAAGCATGAGTAAATTCATCAAACAAGGAGCAAGACTTATATAAAAAAAAAACAAGACTTATATATAACTAAATCGAGAGTTTACAAATAAAAATTTTCACACTGTCAATTACGAAAGTTACACTTCATAAGAATGTTTATCTTCAAGTGGCCACACAAAGATAAACCTTTTTGTGTAAAACCCTACATAGAGTTGAACCTGCTGTTTGTTTTTGCAGTAACAGTTTTTAATAGAAATGATCATATCAGAATTTAGCATTTATTTTCTTGTAAAAACACCTTATATTAAATGGTTATATTACAAAATGATATCACATCTTGCATATAAAGACAGTAATGTTATTATTAATGCACGGAAAGAAATTGTTACATTACAAGTAGAAAGTATGCTAAAAAAAGTAATAACTGTCTTTAGTTAAGCATACACCGTAAACTTATTGCTGCCATTTTTATTGTTGACAACGAAAAAAAAGTAGCGCGAAAGAAAGTAAAAACAGCGTTTCGTCAAAGAGAAAAAATTCGCTTCGCGCGAATATTTTGTCTTGTGGAAAACGGCCTTAAATCTCCAAACACTGTAAAAAAAATGGTACTTGATTTCTCTATTAATATTAAAAATGATATAAGAAATGAATTAATTAATGAATTAACAAGAAATTAAAGGGATCCCAAAGTGCCGAGACAAATTGTGTTTATTTTAAAGACAATGATAAAAAAAAAAATGTTTGGGCAAAACTTTTTTAAGTAAAACAAAATAATAAATGTTTCCACATGTTTCACCGTTTCCACAGTAGCTTTTTTCTGAAAGTCTTCAAAATATACGACACAATCTACAGACTTAATAATTTATTCAAGCGCGTTTAATTGAAAGAGTTTTAGTAAATTACGTCATTGTAGAAATTTATTTTTGAATCAATATTATTTGCTATTGTTAATGTTTTATTTGTTTTTTAAAATAGCCTTTATTATCAATCGTATGAGTTTCTTATTTTATAGGAAGCTAAACATAAGAATTATGTTTTTTTATAGAGCGTGAAATCCAAATAAAATTAAGATTTTATATTGCACTCTTAAATAAAATAAATATATAAAAAAGTCGTTGATCACCTTTTATATTTTCTGAATAATTTTACTTTTTATGTAAACAATGTGAACTTTTTTTTAGTTTATCAAAGGGGCTGTTTATATGAGCCGGGCTAGCCCTGTAAGCCGGGCTGTCTCACTTCGGTGAGATGAATATTGTTATTAAGTTTATATCAATTTTTTCCAGCCCGCTAAACCGGGATGAAATATTTGTTTACATCACGTGCACGGTTAAAATAATTAAAAGCTGAAAAATGGATTCCTTACCATTACATAAACAAATTCTTACCTTTACAACTTTAAAAATGATCAATATACAAGTTATTAATATTTAAATTTATCTTTTACAATTTACAATGGCTATTAAAAAGAAATGGGATTTTAATCAGCTAATAATTCTTGATTTATTGAGTTCTAGACGTCGTATTTTAAGAAGATTAAGATTAGCTAAAAAAAAAAACAGGAAAAAAAGAAGCTGCTGGTTCTATATTGGACGCACAGATTTGTGGTGGCAAAATCTCATATTAAACATTACACCTAAA